TACAAATATCGCCTTCTGCGCGCTACAATCTTTGTCTGCTGGGCTGTGGAACGTCTTCTAAGCATGCGCTGTAGCTCTGTTGTGCAGTATATCAGACGCTGCGCATGCGTTTACAGCTCAGTGACTTGGCATTTTTTACCCGGACGATAAGCGATGCAAAGGTCTATAGCTCCCCTAGATATGCGATCAACGCCCAGTTTTTTTATGCCGAGGCAAGCTCCATGGAGTTCACCCTTTACACGCTACTGCTCAAAGAGTAACCAAGTACTTTACTTGTTACTGAGATTCAAAAGGAACGCGTTACTATCTCAAAATTGACGAGTTACTATCTCGTTACTCTGGATGTGTTCTTTTTTAAAAAAAAAAGTAGCCGCCTTCCGTTATTTCGTGTCACTAATAATGGCTAGCTTTTAACGGATTCGGAGGCATGTTTTTCTAGTTGGTACCTTTTTTTGCCGTGCAAGTCACAGACGCGAGCTGAAGTGAAAATCGAAGAGGGTAACTTTTGTTGTACAAGTTCTTGTCCAGAATTGACTAGATACAGTTATTCGATACTCCTTAAAAAGTCATAAAAATACTGTAATCATTCCTTCTCTCGAGAAGTAGCCGATTCGCTACTTCGTTACCGTAAAAAAGTAACTAAACAAACGAAAGGCGTTATCCACGAGTCTGACGGTACCAAACGCACGTGAAAAAAAAAAAAAAAAAGCAGTGCGCCAAAACGCAAAGGGAGATTAAAAAAAAAGAAGACAAAAACTGTTTTTAAACGTGGGTTCTTTCGCCTTATTACTTAGTGTAAATTGTGTTCACCATCATTACGATTCGTAGTCCAGTATATCGTGCATGCGTAACAACCTTGAAAAAAAAAAAAGCGTTCTCGTATATATTGGGCTTAGTATACTGTGGGCCGTAATTATCGCACATTGCCGTAGTCAAATCTATCATTCTCATTAGTCTTCTGCCATGTGAAAATATGCCAAAATTTCTATATACCTTGATTCATGCCTAGGTCGCAGTTCTTTTGTAATGTCCCCATAATTAGCAACACAAAAAATTTAACAATAAATCACGGTTTTCATCCACTTCTCTTTCATTTGAAATTTTGCATTTGAATGCCTATTGCGATTCATTTATCTAGTATTTCAACATTCACACTTCATATTGCCTTATTTATTTTTCGGCCCTCCAGACTGCAACAAACATCATTAGCCAAAACGTTTGAAGACCCCTGAAATGGAGGAATAAACAGACAACCGCATGGGCAGGCTTTTCCTTCTTTTCGCTTTAGTCGGCTAAAAGGCTACTTTCACGAGAGTAGCATATGCGTATACTTCAACAAATCTCTTGAAAGCCCCACAGTAACAGCCCAGTTTTCGCTAAGAGACTTAGAAGCCAATACCCCTTTGTGTTTTGTTTCAGCCTGTATTGTACACGCGCCACTGTTAGCGCAAAAGAGCGATACGCGCTTGTGTCTGTCTCTGAATTAAAATAAAAAGGCCGTCATCAACAATAAATTCTACGGGATAAGTAATCATTTGAGACTCTAACCTAAGCATAAAAAAATTTCGGCGCCCGCCAATGCCTGCTCCGAAGCAAAATGCGAACATGCTCCAATGTCGTTTTCGCGCAATCTAAAATGTCTGCTCCGTGTAAACGCATACAAGAAGGCCCCATGGAATGATCATCGGAACACTCCATAGATCAATATGACAAGACGCGGTCCACGTGGTCCGTTCTAATTGATTTCGTGCGTTCCTCACAGTCCCCTGCAGGCTGCAGCAACCGAGTTATCCCATCGACGAACGTGTCAAGGCTCCCACCCGCCGCACGAGGCGATCGCCCCGCGCCCTATGAAGCCTCGTTACACGGCGACCGACGCCACCACCGGTTCGAACAATTAGCGCGCCTTAACGAGCGACGAAGCACTACTTGACGCGCGCGGACCCGTCCAGACCAAAGACCGTTGACGTGAGGAACCTTGAGAAAGTTCCCGCAAATCGCCGCGAGTTCACAGTAACAGCTCGCCGCTGAACGCCCGCCGGCGGGGATCTCTTTTTTTCTCGAAACGAATCGTGATTAGTGAGCTTATCCCCAATGAACGAGAAGTAGATTGCGGCCCCTAATTGAGTCGGCGCCACCGAGAAGCCGGCAACGACCGGTCACCGGTTGAGGGAGGGAGAGGCGTCGGAGTTGATCAGCGGTAAGTTGCGCGTACGTGCGCTTCGTGCGGAACCGATTCCTGGTCGAGGACGTTCGGCGTAATTTCTCGTGCACGTTACAAAACGTGCCGAAGGAGGCCGTCCTCCGCGTAAACACGCAGGCGTGTGCTCGTGATCTCCCGGCCGTTTTGGTGGGAGAAGTGGGGCGCTCGTCTGTAGGCTGGATCGGACGCCGATCGTAAAAGCGAGCGGCATGTAGGGATAAATAATAATAATAATTAAATCAAATTGCAAACGACCCCCCAAGCTGCGCTACGATTGACAGCGCTAGCATGTTGCGTTGTGGAAAGGCATATTGAAGGAGTCGGCCTCTAGTGAATGTGCCGTACAATCGTAATCTAAACCCTGAGAAAAGGAGAAATAACAAAACGGACAATACATCGATTGAGATTCCGTGTCGTCTTGTGAGTTATTTTATTTCTCCTTGTCTCGGGGTATAGAGTATGATGCTTCCTAACCACCTCGCCTGCATATTTTCGCTCCCTGCTGTACAATGTTTGCCATGGGTTCTTTGCTTTCAGCGGAATTGATGTAGGAGACGTGTGTGAGGATATGTGCGCTTTGGTGGAACAATTGTGGAGAATGTTGCATGTGTTAAAGAACGACGCAGAAACATGTTTTTTGTTTTTTTTTCGCCTGAAGCGTTCTTTCCGAATGAGGGCGTTCGTGGCCGCGTCTGCGGTGGAAGAAACGAAATTATGCAAGCGGACTGTATAGACACGAGAATGGAACCTGGGCGGCGGTAGTGGGGAGGCGAGGGAGCATGTCCGCACAGCGTGACCACGTGGGTGTTTCGCAACGGCGGCTGCCGGAAAAGGGGGGGGGGGGGGGGGGGAAGACGTTCTGGGAGGGTACGCGGATGCCGCAGGAACGACGGGGAGGCGAAAAGCGCTGTTTCCGTGATCACGTGGGTTTTTGGGAACAGCGGAGGCCTACAGGGAGGAAAGGGGCCGAGAGTGAGCCTTACCATGCGTGAGAAATGACGCGGAGAGGAAGAGCAGTGTCTCTGCTGTAGAGGGAGATTATTTGCGTTCGTACACACTCTAAAAAAAAAGCCCGTGCGTCGATTTTCCCGCACTGCACACGGAGAGCCAATCACCGTAACTTACGGAGGCAGCTCAGCGAATGACGATGTCGAAAAATACGTTTAGACAGAAAAACGCAGTCTGAGTTGTGATATTAAGCAGTGTAAAACGTCACGCTTGCATTGCTTAATGTCACAACTCAGACCGCGTTTTTTAGTTTAATCATAGGTTTCGGCATTGTCATTCGCTGAGCGCTCTCCGTGTGTTGTGCGGGAAGTAGACCCATAGGCCTTTCTTAGAGTGTTGTGTTGAATGCTCGGTGCCAGCTAAAGAAAGACGACTCGGGGTGGAGATTGGGAAGGCACGCTGTGCTTCAGCGCTCGGGAGTCTCGTATCCAATCCAAAAAAATACGAATTGCATCCCTACACTGAGGCAGCGCTCGTGCCCCATCTCTTCCCCGCGCGTTGGTCTCCTTTTGGTGACGCTGAAAACGCAACACTACGAATTGATCATCGAGGACGTGTTGGACGAACGCCGCTACAAATTTGGTAGATATCTGCGTCAACAAAAGGGCAGCGAATAAAAATCAATATAATTTAAATTGGAATATAAATCAGAACAGTTTTACTATGATTTAGATTCAACCGCAACATAATTACGAAAATAGTTTTTAAGTTACCGTTTGTCTATCATTCGATGCTTTCTACTCGTACGTGCATTCCCTTTGTACTGATGTCAAATGATCATCAAGAAACATTTATGCCAGGCTGAACATGAGCAAAAAGCAGTGTTCTTCTAAGTGAATCGAAGCATTCGGCTCTCTTTCTGCCTTCCACTTCGTCCGTATGCTACGTAACGTCCTATTCCAAGCAAATCAAAACGCAAAAGAAACGAAACGAAAACTAGAACAACAGTAATGGTCCTATTGCAAACAAATCATTGCGTAAAAAAGCAGATAAAGTTTTTTTTCTTGTTTAGTAAAAAAATAATCTTTTTTTTTTTTTGTATGGCAGGGTTTACATCGATAAAAATTTGTTAATTAAATGGTACTCTAAATTTAGACTAATTCTTATCTTGTCTAGAAATACATGTGGGAATAAAGAGTCACTCTACTCCAGACGGCAAAAGCGCTAAAAGCATTACACTCCGTTCACCCTTAGGCGGAGACTACGGTGGTAGCTACGTGCCCGCAGGACCAATCAGCTGCCTCCCTCTTATCACGTGACCCGGCTCTCCGCGCGTGGCTATGGCCGGGAAAATGATGACGCGGCGAAAGAGAGCCGTGGGACTGGTCCAACGAGGACGTACCTTTCACTGTAGTCTCAGCTTAAGGGTGAACGGAGTACACCTAAAGTGATTTAATTCAAAATAATCGAATTTAAATACAATTAATTTGACTTAACACCTTTAATCGCGAACGGTTTTTTTTTTACTTGCGTTAACAATGAAGATTGCTAAACTATGTCTATAAAACACAGAATCAAAACCTCCTATTTAACGGGGGGGACATAAAAATCTCCCCTATATTACTGGGAGTGAACTTTTCAGTGCTACACTATCGAGGCTAACCTGGCCTCCATAGTGCTGCCGCCCCGCACGGTTCCGAGAGCACGTGACTTTGTCTTGCGCCTCATTCGCATGCGCAACTAACCTTGACAGATTCGGAGCACCGCTGAAACAAACTCTATAGCCTCGACAAAACAGCAGAAAATACTAGTCGACGTATCTCGTAACGCATCGCCGTCGTCTGCGCAGGCTAAAAGCGGTGGCGCTGACGGAGGGCCAACAGTGCATCACGTACGAAGACGTGAACCAGGCAGTCCTCGAAGCCAAAGCCAAGTTCGGCGAGGACGTGCCGCACGAGATCTACGAGCTGTCGTCCGACTCACCGACGCCCGAGCACGTCACCGTGCCCGCAGAGATCATCCAGGAGGCCTCCAAGGTACTCGCAAGGAGGTCAGTACCACGCTGCCGACACCACCCTGATAACAAAGTCGTAATGCTGCATGTTCGGCGACCAACCGACGACTTTTGTTGTGTATGCGTGGCGCAAGTTCGTCTGCTTCTTCTGATTGGCTCTGATTGAAGGATAGTGGGTAGACCTCAAGGCAGCCTGCTTTGAGGTCTACCCACAATCCTTGAATCTGAGCCAATCAGAGCTCGGCATTCTGACGTCACCACCCTGCAAAAGAAGCAGACGAACTTGCCCTCCGTATAGTATCACGGCCGCTTCACACATACAGCGCAGTGCTAAGTCATCACTAAGAAGAGCGCTGATGCAGAGCTGACTTGAACGTAACGCAGCGCTGATGCACCGCTGTATCATCAAGGTAATCACTATCTTCCGCGCTGACTAACAGTTCTGTGCAGTATGTGTGGACGGGCCTTTACTGCAATTCCGGATGTTTCGCTCTTTCTGTCTATATAAACGTAAGACATATATAAACCTAACAGGACCATTTTAACTGTAGTATTTGCCGCTCATGAACTATCATATCACATCGTTTGGACGCACTAACCACTATATGCGTAACTGAAGTAGGTTTGTGACAGATGACCTCCGCCAGCTTCGTTGCTTACAGCGCGAGTGACGGACACAAAAAGTTTCGCACAGAAAAGCTAGCGCATTTATATGCTTTCACATCTAAAAAAATGATGAAGTAAAACATAAAGTGTGCTGCGATTAACACCGGTAGCTGCTGTGTTGTGGAACCGCATGTTGAAGGAGAATTGCCTCCAGCCAAACCTACTTCAAACTACTCCAGCCAAACCTACTCCAAACCTACTTCAGTTACGCATATTGTGCTAAACAATGTTTGCAATGGGTTCTTTCCTTTCAACGTGTGTGAGATGTGTGATCTGGTGGAACGATTGTGCGAGATGTTGCTTGTGTTAAAGAAAAACACAAAGGCGTGTTGTTTTTTTTTTTTTTTTTTTTGGCCGAAAGGCTTTTTTAGAATGGGGGCGCCTGTGACCACGCCTGAGGTGGAGGAAGCGTACTTACGTACGTGGGCTGCTCTGTAGAGGCGCGGAGAGTACACGAGAACGAAACCTGGGTGGCGGTGGTGGGGAGGCGAGGGAGCGTGTCCGCACAGCGCGACCACGTGGGTATTTTGTAACAATGGCGGCCGGAGAGTGGGGAAGGGGAGGAAGGGAACGTGGAGCAACGACGGGAAGGCAAAGAGCGCTCTCCCCGTGATCACGTGGTTTTTTTTTCGAAACAGCGGAGGCCAACAGGGCCTTCGCTGTTTCGAAAAGTCTGCAGCCAAGTCTGCACGAGCTCTCGGGTCACGTGAGGCAACTTCGTTTTTAAAGCGCAATCCCACAGGCGATTGTTTCACTTGGCTTTAGACTTGTGCGCAAGTGTCCACAATTATGGGGGAGCACAAGGGAAAAAAATGAGAAAGACAGAGTAATATGTGTTATTTCATTCGGTCTGTTGTCCCTTGGCAAGGAGCACAAGAATTATATACCAATCTCGTACTTTTAAGAAACCAAAACTCACGTTCAAATTATACTGTACTATACTTCGTGAACTTCCAATATCCGTCCAAGGTACACGTTTATTATATTGTTAGTATATACTTCGCATTTTAGCGGTGCGCTCCGTGCGTCGCCCAGTCTGGAAACAGGTGTTCATGTAGAAACCATGATTATAATACATTATTCGTAAATAAAAGAATATATTTAATAAAATAGAAAAGCCGTATATTTCTATCTAGTGCATTACGTTTTGTCAAAATCCTGTCGTCCTATGGTATCAGTCTCAAACCTTCCTTCATGTTTCCCTGGTTCAACGTTATTATACATACTCAGTCGTCAAACTTCCGGTTCATCACATGTCGGTCGAAGTGCCCCCCCCCCCCCCCCCCTTTCTATACGCTGCGGCACGTATCCGCAGGGACAGTCCATAGAGCAGCCGCACCATGTAATAAAAGTGGCACTTCAATCAACTGGTGACGGTCACAGGAAGAAGGAGGTGGGGCGAGATTCAGCAGCGATACTGAGACCTCACTGTCGCAGGTTCTCGCTGTCCTACCACGCCATCGTGTACGGGCTGCCTCAGATCGACACGACCAAGACGGTGGTGAAGGACATCTGCCCGACGTTCCTGCGGCCGGTCAAGTGCGAGCTCAGCCGCTACCGGACCCTCACCGGCATGTGCAACAACCTCGACAACCCGTCCTGGGGAAGCGTCCGGGCGGCCATGGTCCGCTACCTGCCGCCGGCCTACGCAGACGGTACGTGCTCGCCGGACTCTCGGTTAAAAATAGCGGGCAGGAACGAACTCGGTTCCCATACAAAACCGATTTCGGGAAATTCACCATCCTCCTAGACCTTTTTTCAAAACTTGTAGCGCCCTCCAGCTTCTGAGCCGGAACCACTAGGATTTATAAATGTCGGCTGTATAGAGCTTGTTGTAGTACGGTGCTCGCCGGACTCTCGGTTCAGATCAAGAAAACCCGTGGAAACGAAGTCGGCTCCTAAACTGAAGCAATTTCGGATCATCGACCATCCTCTAATTGGACATTTTACAATAACTGCAGCACCGGCACAGCAAGGAATTATGGGAACTGGCTGTATAGAACCGGCTCTATACTCCGTTCACCCTTAAGCTAAGACTAGAAGCTCCACTTTCAGTGCGAGTTCGCTGGCTTCCGCATTGCTTGGGTTGCGCGTGCCTGCGCGTTCACACATGTGTTAGCAGAAGCAGAAAGTTCGCGCCGAAGGCGGAGCTCTAGTCTCAGCTTAAGGGTGAAGGGAGTATAGCAGACGCTATGTGCACGCCGGACTTTCCGTCACGAGTAAGAGCGCAGCGAGAAGTCAGTCCCCAGACAGAACCGATGTCAAGTCATTCGCGAAATTAACCTTTGTAAATACCTGTAGCGACATCCGCCGCCTTCGCCGGTATCGCAAGGAATTATGGTAAGTGTCTGTATAGAACCGGCTGCAGCAGACGACGGACGCAACGCAGGCGAGCGGGCGTGGGCAGACGAGCAACAGCACTCCCGCGTCGTCGCTCTCTTTTCGTTGCCACGTAGTATAAGACAAGGACGGCTGGCGCCGAGAAACATAACCAACAAGAGTTCGTTTCTGCACAGCAGCATACGAAGGTACACTGTAGCAAGACGTCAACGCCACAAAAAGGGACGTTCGTGAGCCATCGGAGCGAGCCCTTGCAGGTACTAGCGCACATAGTTCCGCGGATGTCTTCAGGATGCCCTATGGACGTCCCGTGGACGTTCGTGCGACATCTAGGCCTTTTGGACAGCGCTTGGTCCACAGCCAAACCTATACACGAGGCTGCAGCCACAGCTACCGCGAGGGGCATAGGCGAAAACGCGCGACGTCTTATAGAATTCTGACGTCATCACTGTGAGGCCGAGCATGGACACCAACTGGACACGAGGGCCATGTCGGCGTTCCGACGGGCCTCCCGTTCACTCAGAGCGCCGTAAGACAGCATTTTGTCATGAACGCCCCCCCCCCCCCCCCCCCCCCCCCCCCCCCCCGAAACAAAATTCTGGCTACGTGCCTGGTTGGTTCAACGGCGTCGACTCTTCTTAAAGAAGAAGCGCCCTCGAGCCGCTGCCGCCGCGAACGGGGTAACCCTGCAAGGACGCGCGGGGCAACGCATCGGAGGCGGCCGCTCATCTTCTCCCCTGATCTGCGGATCTGGGTGTCGCGTGGCCGTCGCCGCTGGCTTAGGACGCCGATTGAGGTCGATCCAAGAAAAGGTCGGCCGAGCACGGGAGGCCGGCACGCGTACATAGCGACAGCTCGAAAGCGACAGCGCTAGGATTGGGCACTTCGGTTGAAACGAAACGCAGAAAAACAAAAGAAAAACGTTTCCGTCGAATAATTCAAAATCATGCAACTCATTGGCACGGCATTTGCGGATCCCTGTTACTTAGGAATGAACTTACTCACGTACTCATCTATCTTTAAATAAATCAAACAAACTCCCCACGCCCTAAAAAAAAGGGAAAAAAAAGGGAAAGATTATTGTAATCTTACGGCTAATGCCGGGAGGCAGCGTGACTGGCCTGTTTTGAGCTACACTCGGTGTTCATTTCTACTGGCTTTCCCCTCCGGTAAGCCCTCCGCGACGAAGAAGCCGCTAGTGCGCCTCCGCGCCGATGGCCTTGACTGTAGGGTTCCGGGTATGGTAGCGGGTTGCGGAGAGCCGTTGCGGGACGGCGAAAGCGATCTACGAAAACTCCCTATTTCCTGCAAATTTTATCAGGGCGCAACTTCACTAGTTCACATTCGGGTTACACTTTCTTGGAGACATTTTTTTTAATGTAACCTTGGCTTTAAGCATATTCTTCTTAAAAACATGAGTGGACAAAATTTTGTTTTACAATGTTTGAAAAAAAAAAAAGCAACAGAACTTGAACAAGAACGTATCCTACGTACACGATATAGTTTAAGAGTATGCGTTAGTAAGTAAATGTCCGTGCGTATATACATGCAGGTTAGTTATATCGATGCCAAACCCCTTCCACGACAGCTTTAAATGGTACTGTAAAAGATGGCGCTATTTCAAGCGGGCGAGCCCGATCAATAAAAACAAGAATGGATGGATCCAGCGAACATCGGTTGAACAGACGTCGGTATATACACCCTACCACTTCAACATAAGGATTGAGGCATATCGTTTCGGCGAACTGGTCACCTCACATCAGATTTCATTTAGTCCTTTCGCCTCCAGCCTGCACTCGAAGCCAACTTGGAACGGAGTCCCAAACTCGTGCTGAAATTGGGCCTATTATCGCAGTCAGCGAGTGGTTTATCGCATCTGTCAGATTCTCACGCATTGAAATGCTATTTAGCCAGATGTAAAACAAATTATGTAATCAGTGATGTGATTGGTCATAGTCATTTTGGAGCAGCTATCGAAGCAGCCAAAAGTTCATTTTGGATAAGCAAAAAGAGCTTTTGGAACATAACCGCACACCTAATTTTTATTTATATCGCTGCAAATGTGAGAAGGAGAGACGGAAAATGTTAGGAGGAAAACAAACACCAGCTGTTTAGTTGCTTGTGGAAGCACCAGACGCGGTAACAAGAAGACGACTGATGAAGGACAGCGCAAACTGCCGTGAATGATTATTTTAGGTTCGAAATCCCACTAAACAAATGTTAAAATACTACATTTTCGATCACCTAGATTTATGTGTCCTTCAAGTTCTAGGGAGGGTTGTAACAAAACTGCAATTCTCAATTCAAACAAAAAACAAAGCTTAAAAAATAAACCTACAAAAGAGTCCATATATATCTTCTTGCACCACGTCTCGCTCTGGAGGAGGTGCTTTCCCCCTAGCACGCGGGTGCGCTGCAGAGAAGCAAGACGTGCCATATCGCGACGCCTAGTTCGCAATTGTTGCTTCACTGCAGTACACCAGTGTGCGATGAGAAGCGCACTCAACAAAGCTAACTAGCCCACCAGAACAGACCACGAGACTTATTGCGAAACTTCCGAGTACTGTCAGTGCTTGGTGCGAAGTCAAATAGAATAGTAAGTTACTTGAAGCGATTATCGAAAGTCCTGACAACCCGCACGAGCCTACCCTAAAGATTCGGCCCGGTAGCGAGGCCTGCAGCTGTTATATTTTTAGTATTATTCGAGTGAACTTAAGGCGCAATGTTGGCGCAAATTCCTCACATTTTGGTCAAATGTACGAGGGTGTAGCAGGGTAAGCACTTTGACACAGTTTGGCTCAAACGGCGCGCCAATTACATCCCTGCGTAATACAAAAAATAAAAAAAAAGAATTGGGTTAGGGGGGTATTCCCTGGAAGCCATATTTGAGGGCGTTGTTTAGAGCGCATGCTCAGAACGAGCTCGAATTAATCGGTTACTAACAGTGGCGTACCAACTTGAATTTGAGTGGGAAGCAAACTCGACCGTCCTCTCCCCCCCCCCCCCCCCCCCCCCCCCACTCCCCCCTCACGGCCGGGGGGCGGTGCCCTTGGCACCCCTTGGGCGCCACCGGACAGTGTTTGTCCTGCCCAGTGCGGCTGTTTCAGGGGACGCAAAACACATGCCCTGCCGCCCCCTCCCCGCTCTGAGAACTGGGGGGGCAAGTGCCCTCCTTGCCCCCCCCCCCGGCTTGGTACGCTCATGGTTGCTAAGACATTCAATCCAGATGGCGCGGAACGCACGCTGCAAAAGAACTGTGGAAGCTCGCCGCCAGCACCCGCTCAGCATTCGCGCACGCAGCTATGGCAGCCAGCGAATACTCCCTGTAACTATGTTCACGCGAAACTGCAGCCAATGCCACGTGAGTAGAAGGTCGCAGCTTTGAAACGTTCCTCCGTAGAACGAGCGCTCGCGCTAGAAAGGCACGTCTCAAAGCCAGGAGGACTCGCTAGGTCGCGCTTGTAGCTTTTGACTTCAGCCTAAGGGTGAACGGGTTTTGTCACGGGGCTCAGAATCCTAGGCCACCTAAAAAGAATGAAATCGCTCGATCACACTGAGAGTCTCGTTGGGGCAGGCGGTTGAAGCTAGCCTCACGCCACCGTCATTTATGAAAACGGGCTGGACATTGATCGTCCTCCGACAACGAGGGGTAAGCCGCACTAGGAAGTCGTCCGGGCATCGAGGGGCACCGGCACACGTGGGACCGTCGCTATCGATCCAGAAAGTTCCCAGATAACGCGTCCGCCGTCCTCTGACACATTTCGAGGATCTGGTCGCCTTCCTACTTACGCCCGGCCTTTAAAAAAAAAATGGAAAAGAACAAAAACACAGTTTCCGCCGCGGCTGCCTTCAAAGACCGAGGCTTGTCCGGGTCTGTCTCGAAGACGGTTGCAAGAGCAAGTGGAACAGAGGAGCCGTGAAGGAATGTCGCCGGCGATGCGAGAGATGGCCGGACGCGCTGGAAAAGAAAATTCCACGCGTGGATTGAGGAGAAGCACTTTCAACTTCGACAACGACGCGAAACAGGTGCGTCGGGGGCTTTTCAACTGGGTCACCAACGAAGTTCTCGAATTTCCTGCATGTGCTTAAAAAATTTAAAATAAAAAGAAATAAAAAAAAATATTGCGAGACGTGAACTACCGTCACTGGCAGCTTAAAGAGACACCAACATGAAAATTAAATACCCTTTTGATACTGCCTATAAATGCAACACATTCTCTTTTTTTTTAAATATCTTTTAGCAATATTTACGCCGTTAGAAGCAATTTAAGTGGGGGTAGCCCTGCTCTAAGCCCCGCCCATGATGCCGATAACG